CTCTTGGGCCGTTCTGGGGCCATCTTGGAGGCCTCTTGGGCGGTCTTTCGGCGATCTTTGGGGGCTCTTGGGCCGTCTCGGGCCGTCGGAAGGCCGAAAAGAAGCAAATGCCGAAATCCGTCAAGCACCTTAGGAACATCAAGGTTTTTGGCCTCTTCTGGCCTTCCTGGAGGCCCTCTTGTGGGCCTCTTGGGCCGTCTTGGGCCAGCTTCGAGCCAACTTCGGCCATCTTGGTGGGTTCCTGGCACGTCTGACGCTGTCGGGAGCCGTCTTGGGGGCCTTTCTGGGCCGACTGGGGACCCTCTTGGGGCGCTTCAGGGCCGTCTGAAAGGCCATCTTGGGCGTCTTGGAGGCCATCTTGGGCGTGTTGGAGGCCTCTTGGGCCGTCTTGGGGCCCTCTTGGGGCCGTCTTGGAGGCCACTTGGCCGTCATGGGGCCCTCTTGGGGGCCTCTTGGGCGATCTTGGGGGCCTCTTGGGCCGTCTTAAGCCGTCGGAATGCTGAGAAGAAGCAAATTCCCAAATCCTTCAAAAACCTAGGGAAAATCAATGATTTTGGCCTCCTCGGGCCCTCCTGGAGGACCTCTTGGAGGCTCTTGGGCCATCTTGGAGGCCTCTGGGGGGCCTCTTGGGCCGTCTTGGGCCGTCTTGGACTCTCTTGGGCCGTCTTGGAGGCCGTCTTGTACCATCTTGGGCGGACTTGGAGGCCATCTTGGGCCATCTTCGCGATTTTTTGAGGATGTCCCGAGCGAAACGGCCGTTTTTGGCGACGACGGAGCGATTTTCTGGGTGGCCGGCGGGACGCGCCGGAGCCCCAGGGGGAGTTCTTTCCGGGAAAAACCATAACCCAAACCGAAATAGTTTGGCACGCCAGGCACCCCTGCGATGAATCGACGGGGGGCGGCGGATCCGGTTGCCTACGGCAAGTCCCGCCACCGTGCCAGCCTAACATTCGGGGTGGCGATTGTTCGAGGGTGGGAGAGCCTTGATGAGGATTAGGGTGAGGGTGAGGGTGAGGGTGAGGGTGATGATGACGACGATGATGATGGCGATGATTGTGGTGGTGATGATGATGATGGTGATGATGATGATGATGATGATGATGATGATGATGATGATGATGATGATGAAGATGAATATGAGGATAAGGATGAGGATGACGATGAAGATGATGGCCATGATGATGATGATGATGATGATGATGATGATGATGATGATGATGATGATGATGAGAGGATGATGATGATAATGATTCGGATGATCATGCTGATGCTGACGATGATAATGATGTTGCTGCCGATGACGACGACGATGATTCCGATGATGATGAATATGATGATGATGATAAGGAGGAGGAGGACCAGTGGAAACCCAATAGTCACCAACGATGTTGGAATTAACCCTCCCTCCAAGCTCCCTCTTCACAGGCCCCTACAACGGTTCATTCCCATTGAGGGAACTGCCTCGTTGGAAGACAACACTTTGAAGATCCTGAATCGTGTCGAAAGATTGTTCTCTGGATTTTAATGCCACGTATCAACCTGACTGCTGCGTCTTGACGATCCAGAATCGTGCCAGAACATAATTTTTGGGACTTCAGCACAGCGAATCAACATAACTGTTGCGCCCGCATAATCCAGGATCCGTCCAAAACACCATTTCTGGTACGTTGACCATGGGAATCCGTAAAACGCATGCAAATGTCCAAAAAGAATGTGCGCGGCGCTACGGCGAGAGCCACATTTTGAAAAGGAACCGCCCTCAATCCGTGAAACTCTTGCAAGTTTTTTAACGAATGTGCGCGGCACAGGCGAGAGCCACATTTTGAGGCGAGAGCCACATTTTGAAAACGACCCGCCCTCCATCTGTGAAGCTGTTGTCAGTTTCTGAGCTTCAGAGTCACAAAGAATGAGGAAGTCTCAGGCGAAACGCCCGGCCCGCCCTAAAAACTGGCCTCGGGGTGCGACAGGGAGGAGTTATCCATAAGGAGAAGGAATGGATGATGATGAGGATGATGAGGATGATGCTGCTGATGATGATGATGATGATGATGATGAAGATGAAGATGGTGATGATGATGACGAGGTTGATGATGATGGTGATGATGGTGATTATGATGATGATGCTGATGGTACCGATGATGCGGCTGATGTTGATGCTGATGCTGATGCTGCTGCTGCTGATGCTGATGCTGAAGGTGATGATGGTTAGGGTGATGGTGATGGTGATGGGTATTGTGATGGTGATGGTGATGGTGATGATGATGAGGATGATGATGATCATGCTGCTGATGATGATTACGATGACGATGACGATGCTGATGATGGTAGTGATGATGATGATGATGATGATGGTGGTGATGATGATGATGATGAGGATGGTAATGATGCTGATGCTGAGGACGATGCTGCTGTTGAGGATGATGATGGTGGTGATGGTGCTGATGATCATGCTGCTGATGATGATGAGGATGAACCTTCGGATGATGATGGTCATGATGACGACAGCGACGACGACGACGACGATGATGATGATTATGATGATGATGCTGATGATGATGATGATGGTGGTGGTGATGATGATGGTGGTGGTGCTGGTGATGATGTAAAGATGAAGATGGGGATGAAGATGCGAACGAATATTGTGATGATGATGTTTGCTGATGATTCTGATTAGTGTGATGGTGGTGGTGCTGATGATGATGACGATGCTTTTGACACTGATGATGATGATGATGATGATGATGATGATGATGATGATGATGACATACAGACAGACTGGCAGACAGAAGCCATCGACCTAAGTCGTGCGGCAAGACACAATCAACGGAAAAGGCACATCAGAGTGCAACAATCGCATCTCGGCACTTGCGAGCCCTGTATTTGCCTATGGTCTAACTGTTGCCGGATGGTCCTAACATTTGTGAGCAGGCAGGGCATGTCGTAGCCCCTGCTGGGATCGTGGACGGCACGGGTTTCCGATGGCCTATGCTGATGCTGATGATGATGAGGCTGATGCTAATGCTGCTGCTGATGCTGCTGATGCTGCTGCTGCTGATGATGATGATGATGATTATGGTGATGCTGCTGATGATGCTGATGCTGATGCTGATGCTGATGCTGATGCTGATGCTGATGCTGATGCTGATGCTGATGATGCTGCTGATCATGATGATGATGATGATGATCATGTTGCTGCTGCTGATGCTGATTATGCTACTGCTGATGATGATGCTGCTGATGATGATGATGATGCTGATGATTATGCTGATGCTGATGCTGATGCTGCTGATGCTGCTGATGCTGCTGCTGATGATGCTGATTCTGATGATGCTGCTGCTGATGATGATGATGCTGATGCGGATACTGATGCTGATGCTGATGATGCTGCTGCTGATGTTGATGATGATGGTGCTGCTGCTTCTGATGATGATGCTGATGAATCTGCTACTGCTGATGATGATGCTGATGATCAGGATACGGATGATGATGAAGATGTTACTGCTGATGATTCTGCTTCTGATGATGATGATGATGAATCTGCTACTGCTGATGATGCTGATGATGACGACGATGATGATGACGATGATGATGAGGATGAGGATGATGATGATGAATCTGCTACTGGAGATGTTGATGCTGATGATGATGACGATGATGATGAGGATGATGATGATGAGGATGAGGATGAGGATGGTAATGATGATGATGCTGACGATGCTGATGCTGATGATGATGATGAGGCCGTTGCTGCTGCTGTTGATGATGATGATGCTGATGATGATGATGATGATGATACTGATGCTGCTGATTATGACGATGATGATGATGATGATGCTGATGATGATGATGATGATGATGATGATGATGATGATGATGATGATGGTGGTGATGATGATGATGGTGGTGATGATGATGATGATGATGATGCTGATGATGATGATGATGGTGATGATGATGATGATGATGATGATGATGATGATGATGATGATGATGATGATGATGATGATGATGATGATGATGATGATGATGATGATGATGATGATGATGATGATGATGATGATGATGATGATGATGAGGATGATGATGATGATGATGATGATGATGATGATGATGATGATGGTGATGATGCTGATGCTGATGCTGGGGCCTCTTGGAGCCTTCGTTGGCAGTCCTCGAGGCCATTTGGGCTGTCGCGAAAAAATCTTGGGCTGTCTTGAGGCCAAAAGGGGCCGTCTCGGAGCCATCTTGGCCTGTCTTGCAGACACCTTGGCCTCGGGAGCGTGCATATGTTATGTTCTACTCGGATTTCTGCCTCGGGTGCCGAAACTTGCTGTTTTTTCCGACGGATTGTGGCCTCGATTGTGCGAATTTGTTTTACTTTGCAGGGGATTCTGGCCTTGAAAGAGGGGGCGGATCATGCGGCACAGCGTGGCGACGGAAGGGGGCGGAGCGCAGAAAATAACCGAACCCTTACCATTCTGCATTTGACGTTCTAGCACGCCCGAGCGTGCCAGTGGGCACGGTGGCGGAATATTGTGACCCCCGCTGGCGATCCCCCCAGAGGGGGTGGTCTAGGCCTCCTAGATGGGGTCGGGGTAGATGGGGTCGGAGGATTGCGCCGCATCGCCGATGCGTCGACGATGCGGCTCGATGTGGAGCCTGATTAGCTTCACGTCGACGTCG